TTTTTTTACTGTTGTCATAAATTTTAATCGTTCTCCTGTAACATATTCATCAATTTATTACTTTATTATTTAGAATTAGGAGGGGGAGGGGGGAGTGCTTATTCTGTCGCACTTTAAGATAAGATAACACTGGATATCAATGGTCGAAGGACGAGAAGACCAAATGATAAATATCATTTCTGCCAATACTGTTCATAATGATATAGTATGATAAAAATATATTTTAAGACATTTTGATGTTAGCAATAACAAGATTAATCCTTCGATTGTGCATTAATTTGGAAAAAAATCATTAAAATCACAACTCAATAAAAATGGAATAGAAATCTTTTGTAATACCTCCGATGATAATAAGGATAACAATTGTGATAAAAATAGTAATACTAATAATCATCATCATCATCATCATCATCATCATGAAAATAATGATAAGAATGATCAAAATAAAAACTGATGATGATTTAGTACTAAGGCTGTTAAACTCAACACACCATGTGATAGTGTAGTCTGATTGTCTGGGTGAGTGTAGTCCTAAGAAAGAGTGTCGTCGGTAGTGGTGACTGACGTTTCACAACCTGAGTGGAAGTCATCATAACAGTGAAGTGAATCGTTGTTACCAGTCGAATGTTCTAAGTCCGGTTCGTAAAACCTAGTCGGTCAATTTTGCCGTGAAGGAAATATTTAGATCGTAGTGGTCAGGAAAAGATAATGGAATGAATTCTGTGATGGCAAATCAAGTGTTATTTCAAAAATGGGTTGACATCATGACACGCGGCCTAAAAACCGTTTGTGATCTTATTAATAAGTGAAAACATGAGTTATTTGTTTACAAATAAATAAATCATTATAACGTTCATTTATTTAATTTATGAATTATCTAAAACAATTTGTTATTTGCAAAACGTTGAGCTCTACTACAAATACCGTTTCGGTAAGTCTTTGCTGATGCGTTGAATTCAACATTTCTACCATATTCCTGGTCCATAACAGCATAAAATCATTCATGATGGAACTTTAAATTTGCAAATGATGGATGCAAATTTGCAGAAAGGAGGGCTAGTTCATTGCGTTCTGTGTGCTAAATCTCGGGAGAAACTGCAAGAATTCTTTCAGAGTGTGTGCGTGTTGCTTTGTAAATAAAACTGTAACG